TAAGTAATGATAGAGGAAACAGCATGAATGTGAATCCTCCTGGCTCCTCAGAAGAAGGAGAGATCCATGAACATGCTGGTTCCCAACTTAATGAGAAAGCACAAAACAGTCTTAATTTTAAAAGTTATAGATATCAATCTTCTCATCCCACTGATCAAATAATTAGTGATATAAATAAGGGGATTCAAACGAGAACAAATGTTTTTCAAAACTTTTGTGCTTTCTATTCTTTCCTGTCTAATGTAGAGCCTACTGACTATAAAATGGCATTGACTGATCCTGATTGGGTACTAGCTATGCAAGATGAGTTAAATCAGTTTCAGAGGAACCAGGTTTGGCACCTGGTTCCCCGTCCCAAGGAAAGATCAGTCATTGGCACTAGATGGGTCTTTAGAAACAAGTTAGATGACCTTGGTACTATAGTCAGAAACAAAGCAAGGCTAGTGGTGCAAGGGTACAATCAACAAGAAGGAATTGACTATGATGAGACGTTTGCACCAGTAGCTAGGCTAGAGGCTATTAGGATTTTAATTGCTTATGCTGCTCACATGAATTTTAAGCTGTTTCAGATGGATGTAAAGACTGCCTTCCTCAATGGATATTTAAAGGAAGAAGTATATGTGGAGCAGCCACCTGGTTTTGAAGATGCATTGTTCCCCCAACATGTGTACAAGTTGGACAAAGCATTATATGGGTTGAAACAAGCTCCGAGGGCTTGGTATGAAAGATTGTCCAATTTCTTGATGGCAAATGATTACAAGAGGGGAACAGTAGACAAGACCTTGTTCATAAGAACCAGGGGGAAACACTTGATTGTAGTACAAATTTATGTTGATGATATTTTATTTGGTGCTACTAATCAGGTTTTATGTGATGAATTTGCTAATCTTATGCAGAGTGAATTTGAAATGAGCATGATGGGAGAACTAGGATTCTTCCTAGGGCTGCAGATTAAGCAAATGGATGATGGAATAATGATCCATCAACAAAAGTACTTAAAAGAGTTGCTGAAAAAATTCGGCATGGAGAACAGCAAAGCTTATGATACACCTGTTCCCCCATCTACAAAATTAGATGTTGATCTTAAGGGAAAAGATGTTGAAGCTTCTCTTTATAGAGGAATGATAGGTTCTCTACTTTACCTAACAGCTAGTAGACCTGACATTGTGTTTTCTGTTGGTTTGTGTGCTAGGTTTCAAAGCAATCCAAAGGAATCTCACTTGAAGGCTGTTAGAAGGATACTTAGGTATCTTGTAGGAACAGCAAATCTGGGATTGTGGTACCCCAAAGGCAGTACCATTGATCTTATTGGATACACAGATGCAGATTATGCTGGTTTCTTAGTTGATAGAAAGAGCACATCAGGTATGGCACACTTTCTTGGCTCTTGTCTAATTTCATGGGGTTCTAAAAAGCAAAATTCAGTGGCCCTATCCACAGCAGAGTCTGAATATATAGCTGCAGCTTCATGCTGTTCCCAGCTACTGTGGATAAGGAACCAGCTGAAAGATTTTGGTGTTATTTATAAAAGTGTTCCTATTTTTTGTGATAACACTAGTGCAATCAATATTTCAAAGAATCCTGTGCAACACTCCAAGACAAAACACATTGAAATAAGACACCATTTTTTAAGAGACAATGTGGAAAAAGGATTGGTGGAGATGTTGTTTTGTAAAAGTGAAGATCAAATTGCTGATATCTTCACAAAGCCTTTGTGTAGAGAGTCTTTTTGTAGGTTAAGAGTCCTTTTAGGTCTAGTTAGATTTTAGGTATTGGCTTCAATTACTTCCTTCAATGATTGGTTAGAATGGTATTCTCTTGTATAGTGTGTGTACATACTTATGTTGATATCTTTCAAGTGTTGTGTAGATGGTTCAAAATCTCAAAAGGATTGAGAATCATTGTTGTAAGAAACAGGTGAAATCAGGCTGAATTGCCAGAAACAGCGTGACATGGTTCTATACAGGTACCAGCAAAAGGAAACAGCAGACCAGCTCTGATATGTCATCCGATAATATTTTTTATTTTCGGAAGATTACTATAAGATATTTCCTTTTGGAAGGAATTTATCTTATTTCAGTTATTTAATCCCATATAAAAGGCAAACATATCATATGCCTTATTTATAGTTGGTTGAGATAATTATGGTAAAAGATAATTACCAAATTTTTTATTTCAATTTAAAAAAATATCCTTTACAGTTGCTTTTTATTGGCTCAACTAACTCTTTTCTTTCCTTCTTCTCTCTTTGTGCTTCATTGTTAAAAATATACACTAACCCTTTGTGCAGATCATCAATAATCATCACTCGAAATTCTCTTTCTCTCTCTCGTATGCTTTAAATTCATCATTGTTCATTCGGTTACTGTTCACTCAAGGAACCAGCTCAGTCTCAGGGGGAACATCAGAAGGAAGCTCAAATGTCCTTAAGCCCGAAGTTGGAGGAAATTCGAAAAAGTCAGAGTGAAGAGGATGAAATAGAAATTGTTGGTTACAATGAGGAGACACTCATTGTTAATACCATGGTACGAAGTAGAGTAACTCAATCTTCATTAAAGAAGTTCACTGAGAAGGTGTAGGAGGAACAGTCCATTAATTCTCTTCCGGAAACCAAGAGAAAAAGGGTACCAGCAAGAACCTTTCACACCACAAAAGGGTGGAGGTCTTTGCTTGATTGATGTGATGCTAGTCTTGTACTCGTTATGCAACAAGGAGAACTTTATGAATAAGTGCGGATCTCTCATGATTTATAAAAAAAAAAAAAAAAAAAAAATAGAGGAACCAGCAGGTCAGGAAGTGGTTTTGAAACAGATTGGGGAATCACAAGAATATGCTTAGTAATATAATGATTTTGGTTTAAGCAGAGCATGGTGACAAGGATGAAGAGGAATCAGATGATGATACAGAAGATGTTGCAAAGTTCGAGGAGGAGGAAGGGAACGAGAATGATGATGAGGAGTGATGCTGTTTCTGTTCTTGTTTCCTCACCCTCATGTTTATTCTAAAATAACTGATTTTGTTGGTCTGTCTACTTCTCTCCATTCCATGAACTTTCTTTTTGGATGGATTTGGGCTTCTTTGGTTGAACTTTGTTGGCTTGTATGAACTACTAACTCTGCTATGGTATGAACTGTTTGACTAATCTCTTTTTGCAGCATAATGCTTGAATGGTGGTTGATGCCATTGTATGGATAAGCACATTAACTTGTGCACATTGCTTTTACTTGTGGATACTTTTTAATGATGCCAAAAGGGGGAAGTAGTTTGAAGTTGAAGCCTAAGGTTTAGCTAGTTTAGATTGAATCAGTTTGAGGTTTAGCTAGTTTAGATTGAGTCAGTTTGAGTCTTTTTATTTCGTATTTTCTATTTTCTGTTTAGGGAACCAGTTGGCCTAACTGACTTGTTCCAAAGAGTCTTGAGTCCTTGAAGTTTTTGACGGTTTTCCTTTTGAGCATGTCCACAGGTTCAGGAACTTCAAAAGTTTGTCATCATCAAAAAGGGGGAATTTGTTGAGTCCCTTAGGTTTTGATTGATAGTTTTGAATGATGACAAACAGCTATGGGAAACGGGTTTTAATAAGTGTTGAAAACAGTTGGTTGGAACCAGCTATAATAGAACACTGTTTTCCTAGATAAGTTATTGACTATATGAGTTATCTATTGAACTAACTTATCTATATACAGGAAACAGTTAGATGATAAATGTGCTATGTACTGGTGGGGAACCAGTATGAACCGTTTCCTCGACTGCTATGCGGAAAAGCAGTCACTTACTTTATATTGTGCATTAACCTTGTTGAATGTGCAGTATATAAGTTGATTCCAAGTCTTGAAGCAGATAGGACTTTCGAAGAGATTGAAGAAAGTTCCATTGGTTACAATTGAGGTTATCTAAAGAAGGTTTTCAAGACTTGAAGTTTACATGAAGGAAGATCCACATCAAGAAAGAGCTTTTTAGGATCTTCATGTAAATGCTCCGTAGTATGGTTTATTAATGGATATATAAAGTGCTTTAAATATATCGAGCATCGTTGTGAAATTTGGTACAAGGATTGGAACAAATTTCATAACATGTTCAAGTCAGGGAACCAGGTCTGGGGACCAGGTTAACTGATCAGGTTATTAGAGCTGCGATTTTAAAAAGATTTTATAAAAAGATTTTTTATTGAAAATTCAGTTTTGAAAATATATCTTGGCAGCTGTAAATAGATGTGATATAATCTTTAAATACCTAAAAACTAGGAGTAATTATCTTGAGTTGATTTTATCTTATAATAGAATCAATTAAAGATAAATACTTACCTAAATCATGTTTATCTTATTGGCATGATTTATGGTAACTAGGGTTTCGGTTTTCTAAGACTATAAATACAATCTATTCGCTAATAATCTGAAGGCATCTCTCACACGCATAAAAAGGAGTTTTTCATTATTGAGAGAAAAAGCACTAAATCCATTATTGAATCATATACAAGAGCATCTAGTGTTTAATATTTTCTCTACATTAACTTTTGAGAGTTGGATCATTAGAGAGTTTTGATCTTGTAATTGAGTCTTTGGCAAAGAGGCTAAAGGCTGGGTGAGTGTTTGTGAGTTCAAACACGTTTGGAACTTACGAGTGTAAGTTGAGAGCATACTCGGAGTAGAGTGTGGGGTTTGCTGGTTCCCGGAGTAGGGAAACAGCAGAGTGTTCTTTGTCTTTGTTTTTCGGAGTAGATTAATAAAGAACTTAGGATAGGAGGACGTAGGCCTGAGTTGGCTGAACCTCGTTAAATTTGTTGTCTTCTTTATTGCTTATTTATATTCCGCTGCGTACGGGAACCAGCACAACTGGTTCCTCACACATAATCCGAAAAGAAGCAAAATTAGCCAACGATTACTTAACACTCAATTCACCCCCCCCCCCCCCTCTTGAGTGCCCATTGAACCTTCAACATTATTGATGTGGTGAATTTCAATATATAAGTATATGAAATTAACCTATGCTTTTATCATATTTAGGTTAGTACCATTAGAAATATTGAATATGAGAAGCTTAAAAAGTCTTTGACAACAGAAGATGGCTCCAATTTGGCTCTTATAACAAATGGCTTTAATCAAAAGGTATGCTTTTGCTCTTTCAATCTTCTAATGTGTATAATCAGAAGGTAGCATGCATGCAGACTCCAAATATGTTTCCGAACACATGCATCCTCGGTTCTAGTAATATTACAACAACTGAACTTTTACACTATTCATCACGCTTGTTTAATTTGATCATATATTATGATGATTTATACGTAAAGTAAAATATAGTCATGTGTGGGTTTTATAGATTCTTCTCGTAAAATACTTTTACAATATCAACTTTTTATAATTTTTACTCTTATATAATTATAGATAATTAACATATAAAATGTGATGCAGGTATGGTTAGTCGGAGAAGATTTAACAAAAGACGAGCAGTCTATGGCATCAAAGGGAACTATATTTGTTCCTTTCTCTCAGTTCCCTCCCAAGAAAATAAGAAATGATTGCTTCTATCTCAACACACCATCATTGGTGGCTCCTAAATCATTCGGAAACTTGCATTCTTGTGAGGTTTGTACAATCCATTATTAATTAATCATCTTAATTGAGTATTAATTCCTCAATTGAAGATCTTAATTGCTTGTGTTTTGGGTGTGCGTGCACATATATAAGCAGAACTGGCTGCCAAGAAGTGTGATTAGCGCGAGGCGTGTGGCAGGGATTGTACATGCTTTAGAAGGGTGGAATGTGAATGAATGCGGTGATGAGATTTTCGATGTTGAAAAAATATGGGAAGCTTCCCTTCAACATGGATTTCTTCCATCCAAGACCTTTGCTTAGCCATATTAGCTCAAGAGTTTAATGCATTGATGTATATAGTGACTAATTAGTCCATGAATATTTGCTATGTATTGTGCAAACTTCAAATTATGGAGATGGAGTTGTAATAACTCATGAAAGTATTAAATTTATAACCTACTTCATATTTATATAATCGTTAAGATTACCTTTGGCCGGATTTTCATCACTGGCCTAGTTTTCCGATGTTGACCCACAAAATACCTCGAAAGCCACCTGCTTTTATCCCCAAAACAAACACACCCCACTTTAAATTGCCACCGCCAAGCTGAAACCACTCTCAAACCCCAAATTAAAAAGGGCGGTTTCGGGGGAAGTTTCATGGTAGGTAAACATTGAAAAATTATTGGTCAAAGTTGAAAATTCACCCAAAGGTAATTTTTTAAAACTCTTTACCTTTTATTAGATAGTTTCTTATAATATTTTTTTCATTGGATAGTTTCGCATAAATTTTGGATTTTATTAGGTATTTTCTGACAAAAAAAAAAAAATCCTAAAAACTATCCATTTTTTAAGACTCCACGCACCTATTGTAGATCGGGGCTCCTCTATTTATACTCTATACATAGATTTAAAAACATAAACCAAAGTTGTCACATGTCTTTCTTTCCTTTTACCTTTCCTCATAATCAATTTTTTCCTTAATCCCTTTTCCTTATCTTTTCAAAGAACTTCTCTTCATCTCCCCCTTTATTTCTAGTAATTTTTTGAATCACAAATTGAATTTTTTAAACCTTCTCTTCTCTCTCCATCTTTCAATTCAATTTACTCACATTCTTAATTCATTTTATTGACCCCTTTTCTTCCATAATTTCTTATATAAATACAAACTTCCAATAAAGCTTTTTTAACATCACTTAATTATAACTGTACGTGTTATAATTATTCACTCGAAAAATTTACGTTCTATTAGAAATATTCGATCATCATTATATATTTTTGTTTTGCAATATGCTTTTTAGGGTGATACTTTCTCATAAAGATTGTTATTACTAATGTTTATTTACAAATGTCAAAATTTACTACGTAGACGATTATCCAAGTTGATCGATTACACAACCAACACAACTAGGAACACAAAACCCTTCTTAATTACTACTTACTACAATCAACCATAGGAAAATTAAATTACCCTATCAATAAGATCTTAATTAATTAAAATTCAACACAACTCACAACATAAATGCATGCATATCAAACCTTGACAAGTTTTGAAGGCAGAAAAGGACCTCCTGAGCTTGTTGTTCCTAAAATTCATATGCATACAACACTAGTAGCATTTTATCACAACTAAACTACTGGTCAACGCAGGCCAATATTTCCAGTATGTTCATCTAAATCCCATCAACTGATTGTTGGTGCAGTGGTGATTGAAACTGCACTTGGTAGGAAGGACTCGTGTTCGATCCTCCGTAATAACAATTAGGAGGGAACTGAAACCTAACCACTCAGAACTGATCCTCGAATCCGGATTAGCTCAAAGGGTAAATGAGCTGGAACACGAAAAAGAATCTTAACTCCATCAAGTTGAATGAAGCCCAATATCCACCTCTAGGCCCAATAAAGCCCGTAGGTTAGCCTAGCTGCCAAATTCATTATTGTTAGTTTTGCAACTCGTTCGCTTTATTCTTATTTTTTACATAACTTTAAAGGTCAACTTTTTTAAATTTTATGAAAATAAACAAAGACAAATAGCCTAGATCACTTTTTGAATCTCAAATTTCCGTTTTTTGTTCGTACTCTTCAATATTACGAAGTACTCGTACATATTTTCTAGGTTCTAACCGTCAAAATATAGGTTGAAATAATCCCTCTACAAAACATAGTACAATGTACTTCACATACAAATTAACTACATACATCCGATATTAATTCATCTTTTCCATGATTAATCCCTAGCATTAATTATGAAATAATTAAATATATCTCATTAATCGATCAGAATTTAAAGAAGCAAAGAATAATAAAAATGATGTTACAACTTCTAAGATCTAACAAAACTACTATTACACTACTTGTTATGACATTTTTGCTATGACAAAGGTGGTGCACAATCCCATATCAAAGAGGAGGGTGACTTCCACGTCTCAGGCATAGCCAAGGGTGGCAACAAGTCCGAAATCGGAATCGAACCAATTGTCTCAATCCCATCCCATTGATGACCATTATCGTCCGCATACAACATACTATTCAAATTTCCCAACAAAGTACATGCAAAATCTTGCTGATCATCACCACAATATTCATGAATTCGTTCATCTTCGATGTTCACAAGTTGCATGTGTTCTTGTGACAATGTGACCAGTGAAAAATCATGGCACGGTCCATTTATATTAGGCACCATACCAAATTCCACGTTCCCATTCGAATGCTTGTCAAAATTTCCTAGAACTGAAGACGACATGTTTAGTAACATCGATGAGATATCGATGTTGTTCGATTTATTAGACGGATCAGACGGGTCCTCAAGTTGAGGCAAGGTGTAACAAGGTGGAAAATCTAACAAGGTTGCTATATTCGCGAACAAGTTACTATCGTTCGATATTATTGTTTCATCGGCGTTATAATTACTAGTAGTAGGGTAAATTGGTTTGAAAGTTGGTATTTGATCTAAGAATGATGAGTAATTATTAGGTGACTCCAAAAATTGGTCTAATTCATTTATGTTGCTAGAATTTGGTTGTTGCATGGGAGAACTACAACTAGTGTTGATCATGTTATCAGGGCTAAAGTTAGGGTTGTTGCAAGAACTAGATGGGTGTAAACGAGACGTAAGTTTCGGGTGAGTCGGGTCAGGTGAAGGAGATACCCAAGAATGGGTATGGGTCCTTGAAGTTATAGGGCCTGTTTTCTTGAATATCCTGCATATTGCCCATGAATCCTGCATGTTTAAACCAAAAGAAATATTAGCTTAATTAATTAATTAATTAATTAATTAATTTAATTGTTATAATTATAATCAAAATAACATTTACTCTAATATTTATGGTCTTTCTTTTTGAGATCCATGATATTTTAACTAATTTATTTATTATTAGTACGTACTCCATTTGAATTATTTGTAATTTTGATTCAATCAAGAAGTTTAGGTGAGCATGAAAAAGAGAAAATAATTATAAACTTGTATTAGTTCAAACCACAAAGCTAAGTTTCACGAAATTTCTGGGGTTTCTTGGTTATTGCTCCATGCAAGGACGATTGTTAGGTTTATACCGTAACTTTTACTTGCAACGGTCATTTTTTGTCCATAATATTTACCCTTGGTTCTAGTGCTTTTTTACTTGTTTATCTCTTTTCAAACTTGTTTGTTAATTTATCTCTTCCTTATTATGAATCAACCACTTCCGATCCATTTTACTTCCATTTTACTTTTTTCCTGATAAAACGTTAGCACTTTAATGTTTGGACAATAAACAATAATAATAAAATTAATAAACCTGGTAACTTATTTTACACTCATTCTTGATAAAAGGCTCTATCTAATTCGTTACATAATTTTTTTGGTAAATTAAAACCGATTTAACTTATGAGAATGTACTGTATATAATATTTTGTACATGTTACTAAGAAATATAAAAAGTACTATGTACATAAGATACATGTATATTGACTAATTTTATTTTGTTATCACCCTAATCCGATCCCCAAATAAATAAAAGAGAAATAACTTCTTTGAGTAGGGTTAGTTCTATTGATTAACAAATTAAAGTATAGAAATACTTACATTAACAGGAAGGTTTTTATCCACGCATCTTTTTGTAAGCGTAGCGTCGCCAAGAGACGGGAGGCGAAACTCGTGCATCATCCAATCAGTCTTGACCCCTTTGGCAGCTCTACCTTGGTAGAACACCAAGGACTTCTTTAACCCTATGCACTTGTTTCCCTCCGATGAGTAGATCGGACGGTCCGTTCCGGTTGCTTTCCAAAACCCTGCTCCGGTTACCCTATTAGGCCTTGCACTATTTCTATATTTTCTGTCCCTTGGACAATAGAAATACCACTCTTTCTCCCCTGCAGATGCAAACTCTGCATGCAAAAACATTAAGTTATTGGTTAATCACTTTATCAATATTATACTTTTTTGCCAATAAATAGAAGTTATATAATACAGTACGTAGTATGTTGATGTAAAAAAGATTTATTACACACTTATTAATCCACATTATTTATTTTATCATCATTTTGCTATACATAGAACATAAAAGTAAAAAAATTTCAACTTTCCTAGAGATAAATAAAATATAGTAAATAATAAAAACCCTTAATGTAAAGGTAAAAGATTTTTAAAAGCCCGACTTTAAAGAAGCAAAAATATTACTTATTTAGAAACGGATTGAGTCATAGATAAAAGGGGAAAAAGTCAAGATATATTTTCAGAACATAATATAGAACAAGCCTACACAAGGTTTAAGAGTACATGATAGTTATGAAAAAAGAAAATTAATTAACAAAAATATATAAGTAAAACATGCATCAAGTTTATTAATATCATTTGATTAGATCTACTAGGGTTTTTTTTCCTCTTTAATTACAATAACATGAAAGGTGCATACATTATGTAATATAAGTTGATATTTGATAAAATATATCTTACTTGGAAGATCCCATGGATCAAATTTATATATATCAAGTTGCTTGATAAGCTCAATAGAAAGAGGACGTTGTTGAATCTTCCTCTTAAGGTAAAACCCTACAAGCTCCTCATCGGTCGGATGAAATCGAAACCCGGGAAGAAGAACCTCGTCTACCTTCTCTCCTTCATTTGTTTTCTCATTCATACTACAATCTTTAATCATTGTCTCTTCCATTACTTTGGACCGTCAAATCCGTTAAATTAACTTTCCTTAATCTTTAAGGTATCTAAGCTATGAGAAAATGTTTAAATATAAATTTTTGATCTTGAGGAAATTAAAAGGTTTGTTTTAGAAGCTAAGAGTTTTTATAAGTCAAAACATATAGCATGAAACACTCTAAAGAGTGAGAAAAAAGAGTGAAAGAAGTACCAAGTAAGTGTTAGCTTTGATTTCTAGATTGAGTAAACTTTACAAAGTTTGAAGCTCATTATATGCTTCCTTCTAAGGGAGCTAGCCCCGAAGTATCAGCCGCCTTTTCTGGTGACTTTCATGAAAT